GTGCATCCAAATACTTGATGTGATGTTTTGTGCCTGTGATTTCAACATTTTTGGCATCTTAACGGTTATCGGTGTATCGCTTCTTGGAAAAGTACAGTATGCTGACATTTTGTGAGTTTAAATTGTGGTGCTTGTGAACAAAACTGTTTTTTTTTGTTTTTTTTCAAGTCTTAGATGTTATGTGAGCTTGCTTTGTGTACATTTTGCTGCAAGGTTGGACTTGGCGCGATGATGCTCTGTCACAACCACTATTCATTGGGTTTTGCGTAATTGTGCCTAAGCGGCAAGAATTTCCGAGTAAGTGTGACATGTCTAGGAAAGAAAATATGCATTTCCTATGCTCATAGGGTAAACATTAAAGTAGCCGTTTGACACAAAGTAATTATTTGTAACCCTTTTTTATGAAGGGGGAAAAAATGTAGGCCATTCATCACGAGCATGCGGCACTTTTGTAGTTTCCGCTAAGGCCCGGAGGTTGATTCATCCTCAACAAGCTAAGTCCTAGATGTTCAATGTGTCTTGAGTCCTCTATTTTGAACTTGAATTCCTCCTGTCAAGGCAGGGGAATAGTGGAAACTCCTTGGGAATGGGTTCCATGGAATGTCTGGGCAAGATTCCTTCCGTCTTTTCCCCAGTGGACTTGACTCTTGGTGTACTGTAAGGTCATCAATGCGATTTATGAAAATGGACCACAGAACTGTCAGCTGAAACACAAAAGTAAGAATGTAAGTGGTTTTTAAACTTTCTTTTATTTTCCTTAACTAGATTGAATGGGTAAAATATTGGGATGTCCCAATAACACTTTTTTTGTCACCCGGGTCCGGGTCTATGGTTTTCAGGATACCTTGGCAATCCAAAACTTATTTTTTACACATAAAACCTTTTCATTTTCATTTTTTTATTGAACAGTGTTCAATAAAAAAAAGTTTGAGAATCCCTGTTATAGGCCACAAAAATATGTAATCCAGGGTCACTGTGGCAACAACAGAGGCAGAATTCTCCTTATTACAAGACACTGTATCATCACGAGGATTAGGAAGCTGTTATTTTCGGAAGAAAATTGCGTATGTCTGTATGATAAGTTATTTTCTGCTTTGCCACTTGGACTTCTTCTTGGTTGATATTTTCTCATACTGTTTTTGTGTATCTCTGTTTTCCTCTTCCTCCCCCGACATTGGAATGTAACTTCAGGTCAACCTTGTGACTCATCTCTCCCACAGTGACCACACCGCCGCTGTGGTGTGCGGACCTCGTCTCTCATGCAGTAGCGGCACACACTCAAAATCCAACACATACGCGTGCTGACCCACACTGTTACGTCGCACACTCTTTGTGGTAACAACCAGACAGCTGTTATTGCTCAACAGTCCTCTCGGCCATGATGTCAGAGCAATAATGTGTGTGATTGGCTGACGTTGGGAGTGCGTCCTGTGTGTGTGGGCGGCAGTGTCAATTTCATAACGAGTTGCGGTCAAAGATGCTAGGGTCAAAAGTTCTTTGGCCTTCTCAGCGTGTTGCTCTTCACCACCTGGTGGGAAAATTGTGTTTTCCTATTGTTGCTAAATGGTGACTTACTCTTAAGGAAGTTAAGATTAATGAAGGAAAGTTATTGTTCAAAAACACCAATACTTATTCTGTATAGCGGCTACTTTTTTTCCACTTCAAAAAATTCCTCTACTCTGTGCCTTACTGCAATTTGCACTATAGTTAAATCTTGTTGATGTCACTTATGTAGCGCTTTTCTACCTTTAGTACTCAAAGTACTTTATACTGTTTCCTCATTTACCTACTGATGACGCAGCATCGGGCACAACTGGGGGTTCAGTATCTTGGCCAAGGACACTTTGACAAAGTCATAATGGCCGGGGATTGAACCCACAACCTCTGTGTTGGGAGATGACCACTGAGCCATGCTGCCCCCATATGCTTCCATTCATTTTCTGATCCGCTTATCCTCACAAGGGTTGCGGGGTGTGCTGGAGCCTATCCCAGCCTACTTCAGGTAGTGGGGGTGTGGCGGGGTTACACCCTGAACTGGTTGCCAGCCAATGGCACACGTAGACATCCAACCATCCGTGCTCACACTCACACCTATGGACAATTTAGAGTACCCGGAGAAAACCCATGCAGGCAGTGGGAGAACATGCAAACTCCACACAGCTGAAATCCCCCTCCATATCCTCTTATATACAAAAAGATTAATTTGATCGTTGATTACTTGTCAATTACCGGTAATCGATTTATTGTCGCACCTCTAATTGCGCTGTATGACTTAAAACCAGAATCTTATTGCAGACATGACTTCGAGGAAGTTCTCATGAGTAAAAGACATTTATTAATTTAGGTCAAGAGTAATTCATGTCCAAATTTCAAAATTAAACATCCTTATTACGGTATGTGGTTCATCAGTAGATAGAGGGAGATCTTTGACAAAAAGCTCATTTGTGTCTACAAAACTGGGTCATGAGACCACGACACTAAAAGTAATAAAAAGTGTCTTTCTTGTACTGTGACATAGTTGACTCTAAATGACATTTTTTTTAAAGACAGTTGTGCGTGTCTGTGTGTCCCCCCCATTCATCGTCACCATGGTGAAGTCCTAAAAGTCGCCATGACAACTCCATCCACAGCCACGTTGTGTGCCAAAACACGCAACTGTCCCCTATGCATCACCACTGTTCACACAAACGCTCATGGAGTCACTATCACACACAACAAAGACACCCACGCGTGCACCGACGTGTGTGACGCTTTTAAAAGGGTGTCAGAATAGCAGTCTAAAAAAAATATGTGATGATGACTGTTAAATTGGTACATTGCTGAGCAGGATCACCAAAACATGTTCTTCAGAGCTACTTGTTATTTTTATTCCACACAGTTTTTGAATCATAACAGGTTTCTTTTCTGAAAAAAAAAAAAAAAATCAAAGTGTTAACGTTAGAGCGAGAGACGCTGAAGGCATGTGCCTGAAGATGATCCCACCCCACTCACTTCACCTCTACACGAACACATGCGCGCGCGCGCACACACACACACGCACACACACACACACACACACACACACACACACACACACACACACACACACACACACAGAGCTTGCCTTGAGCGTATTTTACTCCTCGATGGTCGCCCCCCTCCGCGATCTCTTCCTATATCTGACCCATTTTCTTGCGTGCACTGTAGTCACCCGCTCTGCCACACGCCCACCACCCCTCTGTGTTTCCACTGGGGTGGAAAACACAAATAGAGTGGGAAAAAATGAGGGGTGGTCTCGATGGAAGATGAGTTGGAGGGGGGGAGGAAAGTATCGGGATGAGTGAGTCTGTCCATTAGCCCCCCCAGGGGTGCACCTCAGGATTGGCCCTTGCACTGTGCATGTGTGTGTGAGAGAGAGAGAGGTATTGAAACGATAGAGGAAGGAACATTTCCTCTCTGTGCATCTCATGAAACAAGTTTGATTTGTCATTCCAAGCCAGGGATAGCACGAAATATCAATTTCTTTTTGACAAGAACTGAACAAACCAAGTCCAAGTCCTCCAAAATTCTTTAAGCATCATTTTATAAGCTCAATTGTGAATCTGTGAATAAATACAATATAGTAGGGCTGGGCGAGTATGGAAAAATAATAATCACGATTATTTTGTTCGAGATTGAAATCGCGATTCATAATAAAAACACAATAATGCCGGCTGTGTTCACGTGTGGTGCCATGCATGCATTAAGTACTCACAATGAAATAAGAAGAGTAGAAGAAAGTTATATTGAAGCACTCTTTCTTTATAACTTTTATTTTGACAGATTGGGTTGCTACATTTGTGTGTGAATATTCATTATTGGAAGTAATATCAATAATGGAGGTCGATGCTGGTTTTCCCGTTAGCATGTCAATGGGATTTTACATTGGATTTAGCATTATCAGCGGTGATGTTTTTAAAACGAAACATTCACTGTATTTAAATATGTTCGATGAGTGTCATTCTTTTGGTGGAGTGTGGATAGTTTTACAGTAAACTCCAACTAGGGTGTCATTATGCCGCATTTTAACGTCACATCCCTCGTTGTCAAGGTTACAATAATGCTATGGTATAGTACATCTAATGAGGTACAAGTACGAGATTCCTCTTTCTCTCTGGATGTCATTATATCCCTTTTGTATTTGAATATTAATTCATTTTGCTGAAATGAATGTAATGCCTTTTGACATTTCCGGGCCACGCTTGATAATATAGCGTCGGAGCTACTTCTTGCCATTCTACGTTGTTATGTACAGTGGACCTCCATAACTCAAGTGGCTTGGCGGGAGAAGAAGTTGGAATTCGACCAGCATTTCCAAAAGTCAAAACAAGAATCTAGAAATCAAATGAAAACAGGACAAAACAAGAACAAATGACTGCATTGATCAAAGAGATTTTCGATGTTTTACCATTAAGTTACTTCTGGAACACATTACCCTTACCTGGCACTAACTTGTGCTGAAGAAAAAAAATGTTCAGTACAGTATTCCAACGATTATAAAAGTAAAAGTTCAAACCAAACCCTGGAACTCTTTTTCCTTTGCTTCAAAATGAACAAAATAAGTTCAGAATTGGAAAAATGCCAAGGTTGGGCAGCCTGCTGGAACATATTGAGCTCACATTCACAGAGTCCACTGCATGCTCCATTCTTGGGAAAACACTCAGATGCTAGTTTTGGTCCGTTTTCTAATCCCTCACCTGAATCGTGCTACCAATGAAGACATCTGCAGACGCTTCCATTGGAAAGTCAATCAAGAAAGTTTTTCCCCGTAGTCAGTGGTTGTCCTCCATTATTGTGCTGTATCGTGCCAGGGATCACCGCTGTATGTTTGAATCCCAATTTCGCCCTGTTGTATTTGACCCCATCTTTCCATTCGCAAAGCGGTTAAAGACGATTGTCGGTAAAATTTAAGCACTTTTTTGTGACCTAAAAAATATACAAAATTCTTATACACCATTATAAAAACACTTGCTTTTTTTTTCCAACTGTTTGAAGAGTTTTAATTACATGCCGACAGTTGCTTTCATGAGCATGAGGTTAGGGCGCTTGACCCAAAAAACAAAAAAACAATGGTATACTATACGAAAATCAGTACATTCGAGAAACGTGAAAATGCGCCTATTAAGCAGATACGGCACACCCCTTTTGAGCTGCGTGCCTCCGGCATCGCTAAGATAACGTTTATGCTTTCCATTGCCTTGAATGGGAATGCCGCCCCTGTTAACATGGCCACCACATAGGCACGTCTGTTGATAAAACATAAAAATAAACACATAAATAATTAATAACAACAACAAAACCATCAAACGTAGTAAATGCATCTACTTGCACTTCAATGTCGCTTCTGGTCCTCATCTGCACAAAAGATAGGCAGTTTGTTTTGTACTTTACCAGAAATACAACAACACATTTTTTTTTAAGGCACACCTGTGATACAATCTGTCCAATCCGCGTCTTGATATGTCTCACCTGTGAGGTGGATGGACCGTCCCCCGCAAAAGGAGAAGTGCTTCCTCACACCCAGCTTTACACAGATGCCTTTTTCACACATCGAAAAAGATCTTCGAGTTTGACTCATCAAATCAAAAGGGAGCAAGAGCTGGAGTTACAATTTTGTTTTCAGTTTACAGTGGAGCCCACAAGGAAAACAAGTTTTGACCCCCCACAAAATAAAGCATAGGTTTCATTGCTTTCTGAATGCTTTGGTTACATTTGAAGAGCGCTGCGTGTGCGGTATGGTCAAGGTAGCGTTAACGCCGCCCACTCTCCTCTTGGTTGCGGCTTGCATCCTGTCGTGTCATGATGCAAATGGAAGTGAGAGGACGCCCACTCTGTCCTGATTGCCATGACAATCATATGACACAAGTACTGCGATGACACACTTTTATCACCGCCAGGTGGAGAGAATAACACAAGCAATAAATAGCAGCTTAGTGTGTGCCGTGAAAATTTTTTATTTGGACTGTTAAAAAAAAAAAAGTATATCCCCCGCCCCCCCAACATGTCTGCGCTTTTTTATCACAACAAGTGTGGAGCATGTTTGGTTATTCAAATGGTGGAGGCAGCACCAGTGGAAGACAGCGTGGGTGTCTGTGGCAAGGAAGTGTGCACTTTCACTGATTCCGTCTCACGTACATGCGAGCACATCTGTATTTTGTGTGTGTTAATCCTGGAAAGAGAAGTGAGATGGTCACTTCCGCTTTTGCTAAAATTAGACCTTCCACTGCATCTTGCATCACTTCCTCTTTGACATGCTTGTTGACTGTGTAACCGAACGCTGCTGAACAATTTCCTTATCTGACTTTGCGTGGTTACTGTGTTGTGTGTTTGTTTGATTGTGCGTGCGCGGGGAGGGTTTTATGTCATGGCACAGCCAATGGGGCGGAAAACAGCTGGTGACTCCCGTCAGAGCTGGAGGATGCGCACCGCGCTGTGTTACAATGTATGCACATCTGTGATAGCATGCGTGCAAACGTAGCCCTGTGTATGACTTACTCAGAAAGAGACGGAAAGTGGTGTCTCACTCACCACGTGACGTCCATTTCTGGTGTTTTCCAAACCAAACTGGAAGCACCACAGATGAGGATGTGATGTCATCCTCAGCGTCAGGCTTACTTTCATGCACATACCTCACCTCCCTCCCTACTCTTTAGGAGTTTTGGTTGAGGCTGAGTCTATATTTCCATCTTTTTTTTCTACCTCGTCTTTATCGCTCGACCGTGTGCTGCCCCATATGGGAGTAGGCGGCGACTGCCTTTTTTTTTTTGGTTTTTATGAATGGGATGAGATGTTTGCTTACTGACGGAGCTATTTCTATCAGTGCTGGATGATGAGCACACAGTGTGTGACCACACCAACTTCCTCTTTCATCGCCCTTCCTCTGCTGATTGGTTCAGCCCCGCAGCTTGATGGCAGTGGAAGTGCGTAACTGAGATGGTTGTAAACTTGTGAGTTTGTATCTTTTCATGTGGGTGAGTGTTAAGAGTTCTCGGCGTGATGGAAAATGTAAGTATCATATAATCATGTGAACGACACGCACCCATGCACAATACGCCAGCCCCAAAAATCACCCTTAAAAAGCATTTTCTTTCCTTTGTGCTTGTGTAGTCCCCTAATTTGCTGGTATCCTTTATTATCAGAGTTACTAATATGAATGGATAAAGATGAAAAAAAAACCAAAAACTTAAAGTGTAAATGCTTTTAAATCTAGTTATTCGATTAAGGTTTTTCAAAGTATTTTTGAAAATGTTTTTGAAAACCTTGCACTCTCTGCCAGTTAGTTAATTTAGTAAGCCATTTTTCTTTTTTTGCTTTGCTTTTAAATTTCTTCAATTATGCAACTGCTTTTCAATGTTCTATTTTTAAATGCAAGATGTTGAGTGTCAAATGTACTGTAAATCTGTGGCTTTTTTGTTTTGTAAGTTTAAAAAATTTAATATACATTTCTTCTACTCCGGGTAAATTGTATAAACATGCATGTTCGGTTCATTGACGACTACATTGTCTATACTCCATACGTGTGTTTGTCAGTGTGAATGGTTGTTTGTCTCTATGTGCCCTGCGATTTCAGTTCAGGGTGTAGCCTTCCACCCGCCCAAAGTCAGCTTGAATAGACTCTCCGGTTAAGCAGGATAGAAAATTGATGAATTGGAGATTATTGTGGTTTTTATTTGCACATCTTGCGAAGAACTCTTATTTTGGATATATTTTGCCCCACATATGAAGAGAACCAAAATATTACAAACAGCTCTCAGTATGACACTGTGGAGTTCTACAATATTGAAACCGACAACCACACTATTCAATCGATATACAGTGTTGAGAAGAAATTGAAACTGCAATTTTCTAGGCCCCCTGTCAGTCAGGCCCCCAAAATCGTCATCACCTTTCTCCTGCAACGTCAATGTGTATCAGAGACAAAATTCCAAAACGTCAAGTTGTACAACTTTTGGGCTGTTTGGCAATGCCTTTCTTGCAGGTGTAATATTAAATCATCTTGAAAGTAATGATTCACTCATTCCCTTGTGTCGTAGTTGCTGATGGCACTGTGGTCATGGTAACCTTGACTTGGACTTCTATCCCAGTAACCTTAAAAGAAATTCGAATATGCATGAAGTCTTAATTGTGATCTCCAGGCGAGGCCTTGACTTTACATTCCCCAAAGTAGGATGTTACTTCATGGTGCATGCCTGGAGTGAGGCTCTTCTGCATGTTTAATCAGTATGCCATGACAGATTTGCGGAAACCAGCCACATGTAGTACTTGAAACTTCCACCTACACACACATTCCCTCATATGCGTGATCACACAATGAGGAGCCATACTTGCAAACAGAACGCTCAATAGTTACATTTCTCTGCGGCTTATTCAAGTGTAGTACATTCCTGAGAGCCAAACCCTCGGAAAATGCGCCTGATTTCTCGGTCTCGGTCAACTGATTGATGCTCCTCTATGAACATTAATAAAGCGCCATTTGTCTGTAATCATCTGTGTGCTCACTTGCCACATACACAAGGCATTTCCTGTTTTTATAGTACACACAGTTCTTTTTACTGACACATTTTCTCTCAACACTGGACTGAAGACCCCGGAGAAGTCAAAGAACATGAGTGACAGAATAACTCTGCTACCATCCAGGCGTGAGGTCCAGTCAGTTCAATTTTATTTAGATAGCTTTGAATGCATTATATTTCTGTATAAAAAACAAACAAACAAGAAAAACAACAACAACTGAGCCCCACAAGAGCAATCACTTGGCAATCGAGGCACCGAAAAACCTCCCTCTATGGACAACATATCAGACAGAATCCAGGCTCTGAACTGCAGAGGGTCCAGAGCGGATTTCACCCCGCATGCGGTCATAAGGTGGGCCAGATCAAGTCTGTCCATTGTCTTCATGACTTGTGATGTCAGTGGAACAGGTATGTAGTCATTGTGACCAGATCAGTGCCGGAACTAGACACATTCAATATGTCAAGCCACGTTGAGTGATGAGTTTCAGCAACAATTAGGTCCGCATAGCATTTTCATGAGCTTTGGGCAATTGTGCCGACTAAACGCTTCATGACATCACTGCCAGTGTAACCGTTGAAAGACATGGTAAAAACAGGAGCCCAACTGACGTTGACACACTTTTTGAGTAAGTTTTTATGATTTTTACTCGGGCTCCCACTCAGTGCACAGCTAAATATTTCTGTTGCCCAAATTCCGTATTGACATCTGTGCCTGCCTGCTGTGAGCATGTGTGTGTTTGCGTGTGTGTATTTGTGTGTTTGAACTGCTCTGAGGACATCCAGTTTGAGTGTTTCTCCTCCAATGCTCTTTCCGGTTGAGGAACAGTAGTTTTTCTGTCGATGGGGCTTATGGATTGGAACATTCAGCATCCCAGCCCCCAGTCACACACCCACACATGCAAACACTGGACCAAAGTAGATTTTTTTTTTTTTTTCCTTAGTTTGTTTTATGATTTTTTTTCTCTGGCGAAAGGTAGTGAAGATGAGGTTCCCTCCACTTTTGGCTTACAGTCGGCATAACTTAGTGGATTGGTTGTTGCTGGTTAGCTTTTTGGTAAGCATTAGAGAGAATTCAAGCATAGGCACTAATGTCTCTTGCACAGAATGTTGTGCATGCTCTACTTTCCATGGGTTCTTCATGGTTTCAAAATCTGTGACTGATGCAACGGTCACAGGGGCCACTAGGTGTTAGTTAACAGAAGTTTAGTTCTGCTATTTATGAAGGGAACTGACTATCCCTTCAGAAATATTTTTCAAGAGGTTGATGGTACATAAAAGGAGCCATTGACTTTGCTTTTTGTGCCTTGAGCTATTCTTTCAAGTTGTTTATTCGTCCTTATGTCGTGCAGGGTTAGCAACCACAGAAGATGTACGTTCATTCATTTTAACCTGTCAAATCCCAAAGATGCATACATTCCTTACATCCATTTTTCAGAGTGGAATGACAGTTTCCGGTACTTTGCTAGATGTGCTTGGAGAGTACTGTCATCACTACCAGGAAACCACAATATTTAAAAAAAAAAAAAAAAAAAAAAAAAAAAAATGTTGAAATGTGTTTCTTGAACCTTATGGGTAGCAGTTGCTTCGACCTGTACAGGATATGGGTTCGGACAATTTGTGAATATTGTAAAGAGAGTGTAAAATGGAATTTCCCTGAGGGACTGATAAGGTTTCTTCTTTTAGCCGCATAAGATCTACTTGATCATCTGTTCTGTGGTCTGTGTAATGGTAGCGTTCTGTACATCTCTTTCGTCACATTATAACCCAGTGTCAAATCAATTTCCCATAGTGAATAATAAAAATGTTAATAATTGGCAATAGTTTGAGCCCATAACTATCATACAAGGGGGCCCAGTGGTCCAGTGGTTAGCGCGTCGACCTCACAGTGCAGAGGTCATGTGTGGAGTTTGCATGTTCTCCCCGTGCCTGTGTGGTTTTTGTCTGGGTACTCCGGTTTCCTCCCACATTCCAAAAACATGTATGGCAGGCTGATTGGACACGCATGGCAGGCTGACACACCCACACCTAGGGACAATTGTACCTAGGTGTGGGTGTGAGCGCAGATGGTTGTTCGTCTCTGTGTGCCCTGCAATTGGCTGGCAACCAGTTCAGGGTTTCCGACACCTACTGCCCGAAGACTGCTGAGACAGGCTCCGGCGCACCCCACTGACCCTTGTGAGGTTAAGCGGATCAGATAATGGGATGGGGACTATCATACAACTTAGCAAGACAAGAATTTATATCCAGCTGCAGACATAATCCTTTTTACGGTCACTGAAGTGAAGAGGTAGCCAGTTTTGTTCAATCTCCCAAATTTTGTGCGACTGTAGAGGAGTTTTATTACCTGTACGAATTCTGAAATGTCGGACAACTTGCGTATGAAGGTTGAAGGCGCCACCTCTTTTCACGTTAAGTCTCACCACCACAGTGTTAACAGTACAGGATATCGCTTTTTCTTGATTAACCCTCTCCGTTCGTATGCTAATTCCTTTTTTGTCACTATAGCAGCCATACGTTTTGTAACAAGCACACAGTTAATTACGTTTAGGGTTGAAATGATACATTTGAATGTCCCTGAAATTGTACAAAATTCTGCTTTACTATAGTCTTCAGTTGTTAAAGCAGAGTGCATTTTGTTCTTACATTTTAGATTGCTAAATAATGAAGCATATTCAAAATAGATGCGATAGTTTACTGTTTTTATGTCTTCATATAAACGCTCTCTCTCTCTCTCTCTCTCTCTCTCTCTCTCTCTCTCTCTCTCTCTCTCAGCTTTATTCATAGAGCACTTTAAAAACAACCACAGCTGCAAATAAGAGCTTTACGTAAAGATTTCCAATAAGAAACACACAAAATAAATTGGCATTTGGCATACATAATGTTCCAAATTTTATTCTCCGTTGTTGTGCTGTTTACATGTTGTGTGAAGTTGTTCGTAGATAAGACAGAGCACCATTATTAAGGTAGCGTCGGAAAGCTGAAATTGTAATTTCACAACCACAGTATACACAACGTCACTCGCGTGGCTGCAGTCGCTGAAGTTCAAATGTAAACACACAATTCCCGTTTTCCAACGTCCAATAGTTAACCCGTTGGCAATCAATGCACATACAGAATGAACAATTCAAATCTCCAAGAATCTTGAAATCCTTGACAAAAATACAACAAAAAGGCCGTAATAGTGCAACGGTTTAGCATGACCCAAAAAGAATAGAGGCTGGAAAGCATAAATAAAGGATGAAGTTAATTGAGCTGCTGTGAAAGGCTAACAATTCACAGGCGCGCACAATAAGAATAAGCGCTGACACATATTTCCATTATTTCTTTTAGGAATAATCATTTTGACAAAGAAAAATATCGATAGTCAACCAATGTTCCTTCATGGAATACATTCCCTTGAAATTCCGTTGTATGTTGATTTTGGTCTCACTTAATAAAAAACAGCCAAGAGTCGAAATCATTTTCAAAAATACAAAGCCTCCGAGTGAAATAATACGACACATGACACTTGGCACTGCTTTATAAATTATGTAATCCTGGTAATAGGGAGTCTATTTTCAACTTTTTTTTTTCCCTCTTTCCAAACTCGTTATCAACTTGGTACTGTTAGGTAAATGAAGTTTTTCTTCTCTGTGTCTCTTGCAATTCTCTTATAGTGACGTTGCCCTCTTGTTGCTGACGGAATCTCCTGGCAGGAAAATACCTGTCATCGGTCACAAGGGCCACCGGACATGTGTCTTAGCAAGTGACGTTGCACGCACGACTTAACTCCAGCAATTTTACTATACACAAGGTAAGCTGGGGAAGCCCTCACACACACACACACACACACACACACACACACACACACACACACACACACACACACACACACACACACACACATACGCACACACACACACACTAATCCAATTAGGACAGTTTGTGGCCTGGGCCTCATCAGACACATGCTGATCCAATTATAAGTAGATGGATTGACCAAGTGTTTCCCTTCGCTAATGTTCTCAAGTGGCACTGTGCCACCACACCAGGAGAACACCTCATACGCACAAATGATTCCCCCCGCCCCCTCCCCCCTTTTGCTACGTACAGTCTGTGGACAAACACCCTGACTGAGTCAACCCAGGCGTGGAGGAAGGCAGAAGTGACTTCCATTCAGTCAGCAGAGTCGAAACGAGGACAATCCGGAAACCCGGGGCTTAACCTTGAGGCTAAGACACTTTCCCCTGTGTAGAACTCATATAAAACTCCTGGCTGCCCACCAGGAATAGTCACAGATATCTACACTCTGGACATTATTATCATCGATGCCAAACAATAAACGAAGGGAAAGATCTTGGGGAGCCGCTTTCACCCATCAAACGCAAGCTCATTTTTCTTCCACTAACAAAACATTGACACCAATTTGGAGAGTATGTGCTTGTGTGTGGATATTTCCTGAGAGGCTCTTCATTGCACAACAGACATCAATGAGGCGCACTTCAAGCAAGGACACAAGTCCGTACAGGGGCTCTTATGCTTGTGCAGTGAGGATCTGTAGGGCTTTTCTCTTCTCTTTTATTCTCGTGACAAACGTACATATTTAATCGATGGTCACCTCAGACGGTGTGATTGAGTGCCGTAGCCTTTCCACTTATGTGATGTGCTGTGGTGGTTAATGTTTCTCTTTCACACACACACACACACACACACACACACGCGCGCGCGCACACACGCACGCACGCACGCACGCACACACACACACACACACACACACACACACACACACACACACACAACAGTCAGGACAACAGTGGTTGAGGCAAACGCATATCATGCATGTCCTGACTGTCAGCATATTCCATTTTTCACCGCAGATTTTTAAGCAATCGTTTTTAAAATGTACACACAGGTCCGAATTTTGAGTTGCGCACCGCCCGTGTACAATACTACCATGTTGTGTTACCACATGCCAGGCAGCACTAAGCTCTATTGGATGTAGATGCAGCGTAATTAAAAGCAAGAGGAGGCAGTGAAGGTCCCCACCTCCCAAGCTCCAATAATATTTTTGGTGGTAGCAGAGAGAATACACAGTATGAATGTGAGCATTGTTTTATGTGCTCTTTGTACTGCTGCTCTATGTCTGTTCAAGTAGTGCTTGAAGGTGTGTGATTCTTGCTCAAAACATCTCTGCTAATTTCTATTCATCCAATTTAGTGGCGTTTTGCATTTTATGTTAGCCTTAAGATGGTATTTCTCTGGATATAATTTGGTTGAACTCGTTGGTGTTTAATTATACAGGGGTTAAAGTAGTTGTTTTATGTGCCAATTTACGGTAAACCTCCATTGGGAGTGACACATAGTTATGGGACATTCCCCCCTGTGATAAACAAGGATTCAATGTACTGTAAAAACTGAGAAAGTGTATTACCCTATAATAGTGTCTCCCCCCCCACCCCCCCCATCGGATGTTAGACACTTTGGATGAAACATGAGAGCATATGTTCATGAAAACAAAGCCAGACAGCAAAGCTTTCATGTTCTCCCCACAGTTTGATCAATTTGTTCAATTTCTCTTTTAAGAAAGGAAAACATTGATTCGAAGAATTAATAATCTCATCATTGTTCTTATCTTTTATAGTATATTGCCACAACATGAATCTTAATGGATTTGCCTGACACAAAGCAAAATTGCTGGTTGTAAAGTGTAGCAATCAGTCTTGATTCAGGAGGCACTTTACCAACTTGCAAACACACAGTCGCATCTCTATTTATGACGGGCCTTCTTTGATCGACAACAGAGCGGGATTGGAGTAAAATAATAACAAATAACAAAGAGAGTGCATTATGCAGAGAAAAAGTCTCAATTGTGGGAGTGGACAACAACATATGCTTGCTGTGGTCCGGCATGGATGACAGGGAAAGTGAGGAGAAGAGGGAAGAGGTTTCAGCTGGAGGGGACAGTGGGGGGATAGCACATAGGCCTGGGGATGTCAAAGCATGTACAATGCAAGTGTGTGTGTGTGTGTGTGTGTGTGTGTGTGTGTGTGTGTGTGTGTGTGTGTGTGTGTGTGGGGGGGGGGGGGATCACTTAAGGGAGAGACATTTGTGTGTGTCTGTGTGTGTGTGTCTGTGTACGTACGCACTCGTATGCGCACGCCCGAGGTAAAGCAGGGGATGTTGAAGCTGATTTGTTCTGATGGACTCAAACACAGACACAGACTCTGCCTGTGACTCACAGACGAGACGCAAGTTTCCCTGAGGGAGCAGCTCAGGGCGAGCGTATATACACACATACACACACACACACACACACACACACACACACACACACACACACACACACACACACACATTTAGGCAAACACACGTGTTTGCCAGGTTAGGTATCTGCCTGCTTGTAGAGCTCGTTGGAAGCAATGATGTGATGGGATCGTCGTTGGCACGTTTGACTTCATTTCTTCAGAGAGCAGAGTTGCATTGAAACCTCTTATTGTGCCTTTAGTTTCCCTCCCTCTAGCGAATCTGTGGAAATGGGATTTGTATCAAACGGGGTTACTTTCTCACGTCTTGTTCAGTGTGACAGAGGCATAAATGTATGAAAGCACAATGTCCAGTTGTGTTGTTGCCTATACTGAGTCATGAATGGTGCTTATTGAGCAAGCTGGGTGCACGGATGCCTCCTCTCAGGGCAGCAAAAGTTTCGCAAAGCCACTCGAGGGTAGGCACACAATAAAGACGGATGATGAGGCAGGATGCCAAAGCCCTCCAGTTATTGCCCCGACTCTAATTCGTTGCCGTGTTGCCTCCCTGACTAACTGCCTGTAATCGGACATTAAAAACGCAAGCGAAACACTTGAGCTGTCGTTTTGTTGTGTTGCCGGAAACGCGCACAAAAGCGTCTGAACACACACATTTGCCTGCACGCTCCCAACAAGATGGAGACACGCAATTTTACACAGTCACATTAAGGCACACAGAGCGCCATTGGCTTAATATGAGCTGTCTGTGACATCAACCGTATGCTCGTTATAATAGCGCTGGGAGCATCAAAGTGACAGATATCACACACAGGCAAACCCAGTGAATTATCGTGGGGTCATTTTGAAATCAAACCATTAAACACATTTGAATGCTCCTTTGTTCGGAGCAAGAAATTGTCGCGCAGTTATGTCATGTGCTTTGTCGAAGTGGATTCCCAAATTCTGCAGACTTTTGCGGATGGGTTTATAACGACGGTGGCATCCCGAGTTGCCCGGAAAGATGTGACGTGTCATTTTCACAATGAGGAATTTTTGGTGTCCTCGTCAGAATCACTTGGTCATTATGAAAATAATGCTCAAAAATGCAACCCAGAGGCCTTATTATAAGGGGCCAAGCATTATATCAGTACACAGTGATCATGATGATCTCTTAAAATGCATTTCCTTCATTTATGACTTTTTTTCATTGGATGTATGCAATTTTGGCATGTTTCACATGTTGCTCTGAGTAATAAGAGGTTAAATGACGCTAAATCGATTATTTACATGGCTGTATGGTCCACAACAAGTCACTTGATAAAACTCGTCATTTTGATTCATGCTCATATTCAGTCATGCTGTATAACTTTCCAATGCCCACAGTGTAGCTTAGCGTCCTTGAAGCAAATCATCACCTAGAATTGGAATACTCCCTACTGTAGGACGCACAAACATTGGAATGCGCTAGTTGATACAAGCTGAGAATCAGTTTAGGAGAAACGAAAGTTATGATATCACACTTTGTGTCTCGGTACCGCCCTTCTGATGGTATAAAAATGATGTGAATCTCTTCCTGCTTGGCACTCGTGATGCGCAGCCATTGTCTGTAATTCGCGGGTGCCCGGAATATTCTGTTATTAAAAGCTTCGAAGGAACTGTTCATCGACTCCAGCCTTTATTTGAAGAACCAACATTCTCCTCGTCCGAAATTCAACGAACACGCGGAGGAAAGAAGGCCGCTTTTCCTCAACACTGCCCCTTGAAGAAATCCTATGTTTTCAGTGAAAGTATGATCCAGCTTTTTTTCCTTTTGTTCATTGATTAAAGAAACTGCAGGAGCTTGACCAATATGCAGTTCCCACAGCGTAACATCTAGTTCATACTATAAATATGAAGTTTAATGAAACACCTTTTTTGTGAAAGTTTTTGGGTAAATGGAGAAAATCTCAAAGGCGCCTTATTAAAAGCAAGAAGAGGCAGAGAAGGTGGTATTGGCTCATAACAGTGAGGGGTCAGGTGAAAATGGGTTCAAGAACCGGTGGTGTCAAATTATGCAGAACTTTGGGTCGTTGATCTAGCCATAAGTGAATGTGTCTATTGTCCCTCAAGGTCACCGTAGGTAAGATGTCGGACCTGGCGACAGCAGGATTCTTTCCATTGCTTTGTGGAAGTGGAACATTGATTTGATTGGTTCTTTCCTGGAGAGAGAAAAAAAAGCAACAAAGGCTTAAGAGCTTGCTTTTCTTTCCACAAGTGGGAAACAAACATGTGTTATGATTTACTCAAACAAACCGTAAGGGGACTAATGGAGTGCCTGTTTGCTAACATGCAGTGCAGTTCTCTTGTCAGAAGAAAATGCTGACGGCTAATCATGCACCTGTGTAAAAGTGTGTCTGTGGGTAAAATCAAACACAAAGTATAATTTGCCAAATATTTATAACACATGGTTTTGTTTTGTTTTAATTGATATTGTCACAAAAAAATTCAACCAGATGGGTGAACAAGTCACTGAAAGCAAAAAGACCCAATAAAAATCAGTGTGTTCTAAAAATTCTTTCTTTAATAGTTTTTT